AACTAATTTGTATGAGTAAATATGGAAAAAGTGATGGAAGGGCTATTTGAAATTGACCTGCCTAATTCAGAGAAAAAAATGTCAGTGTGTTTATAGTAGTCATACTTGGGGGAAATTATGATAATAAAGAGTTTCTTTCCTGTAATGTACCTTGAGTGGGCTGGATGGAACTGGAATGTTAAGTAAAATAGGGAAGACTTTTCTGCTTTCTTATTGTTTAGGAGTGTTTTTCTTTATTGTTGACACACACAGCGAATTGTGTGAAAGGGTGTGTAAATCATTGTATATTTACAGAAGTTTGACTCTTGCTAGGTTCAATGTGGAGGGAGGATTCTTCATATTTTCAATTATTTTTGTTTAAACACCACAAAAAAAAAAAACCCCAGAAACAAAACCATATGAATGCAAAAACACATTATGAGAGAAGCACACAGAATGGCTTTAAATCTCTTGTCTGCTGTCATAGATAGCGAAAAACCAACACAAAGTTCATTAACTAATAATTTATTTTTTTACCATTTAGATGAAAAAGTCAGTGGTTCATTGCCTTTGAAAAAAAAATGAAGGGGAAGACATTCATATAGGAAGTCAAAACTCAATCCTTTTTCCAAAAGGATGAATATGTGTTTGTACGAGAGACATTAGTGTAGCAGACCATAGTGGACTCTTGTGTCATCCTCTGTATTTCTCTGTAATCGGTTACATTTACACAGATAACCTGAAAGCAATTTACATTTGGGTGGTTTTCATCTGGAAAGGGCATAAGCCGAGAAGGCATACATTCTGCATGATAACAGAACCCCGTCTTCATATCATAATAATAATAAAAAAAAGCATATGTTCCTGGTTTCTACATCAATATAACATCCATAATCATCTGGTTTGTACATCCACACACACAAGTCATCCAAGGCCAAATGATGCTTTACAAAAGACAACAAAAGCGCAAGGAGCAGTTCAGTACATATTTACAACATGATCATGTATCGGGATCTGTTTAAAAAGCCCAACGCTGAAACAGATGCCAAACATTTCTCAGACACATATTCAGAGTCCTCTACACGAACAGAGTATTTTAAAACTTAGAGTTTACCCTTTTTTAAGAGTTCTCTCACGTCCGCATGTTCAGCCCAAACATCTACAGCGCTCTGCATAAAAGCATCACATCAGCTTTTCATCACTTTTTTTTTATGTATTTCATGCAATTAAATGTAACAGTCCAAGACAAAGTAATGCATGACTGTGAAGTGGAAGGAAAATTTGACTTTTTTTGCAATTACACTGCAAAACCGTTTTAGAAATAAGTCACATTTCTTAAATTAAGTGTATTTACCCTTAAATTGAGTAGGTAAAAAAGATTATGTGCCAATGGAATGAGTATTTTTGCTCTTAAAACAAGATAATTACATAAAACAAAGTTTGCCTAGTGGGCTAGAGGAGTGTGCTTTGCTTTGAGAAGGTTTCAAGTACCCGGTATGATCCCTACAACCTACACTTCTGGGTTTCTGAGCAAAACCCTTAACCCCCTGATTGCTCCCCAGGCGCCACAAAATGGCAGCCCACTGCTCCCCAAGGGGATGGGTCAAAAGAGAATGAATTTCTCCATTATGGGACTATAAAGGGATTTACATTTACATACAATACATTAGTATGAACTTCAAACAAGACAATGCAATTGTTTTTTTCTTATTTTAAATGTAAATTGTCTTGTTCCATTGGCAAAGTGTCGCCTCAATTCAAGAACAAATGTACTTATTTTAAGAAGAAATATTGCCTGCAGCCCTCTTCTGTCTTATCCACATAAACATTAAATTTAAGTAATAGCCAATAAATGTCATCTTAGTAAACAGTCAATCTTATAATCTGTCCTGTTGTTCAGTGAAGGCTGCAGAAATCTGTTGGAATAATACTAGACAAAATGAAGACAGAGGAACAAAGCAGACAAATATATGGAGAAGCTTATAGTAGGGATATGTTAAAGAATTCCCCCAGCACTTCTAAAATATTGTTTTATAAAACATTATTTTGACGTAATTGTATTTAAATCATAAACAAATGAATGTGTGCTACAAAAGAAATAGCGTAAAAATGTCTTTGGACAATGATTTTATAATTTTGATTGAAGTTGACTGAAAAATAGAAGCATGGAAAAGTAATTCACATGATTTTGACATTTAAAATAAGGCAATATTTCCAGCTCTAAAAATCCTTCAGAGCTACTTTCTGTCCATCATAGGAGTGTAAATGCATCCTACCAAGAAAAGGGATTGTGCAAGGGGACTAATGCATGCCACACCTTGCAGATTTGAACTATGCTTTCCTTTTCTCTCATTTGAGTTTTGTCTCAAATTTGTGTTGGTCTCGCTCATAAAATTCCATTAAAACACACAACAGTCGGTGGTTATAAAGTGACAAAATGTAACATAAAAAAAAAAAAAAGGTAAATGAGTGTGAATACTTTGCAAAGCACTGGATCACTTGTATGCTCAGCAGGGGCTAATTAAACACAAAGTCACACACATATGTCTGTGGATGTTATAAATTCTGTGGAAGGTCAGAGACAAAGTAAAGCGGTTACAAGGCTTCAGTACAACTGCCAAGCTGCCAGGCTTGTTAATGTAAAACAACAGGATGGCTCTCCCCGCAAGGCTCCATGAACAGCTCTCACAACAGCAAACTAAACTGGAGTGGTTCTAACTTTCCAGCATTCCAGGTGGGCATATAAAAGAAAGAAAACTGGGAGCCTATAGAAGGAATGTTTTGCAGATCTCCCAAAAAGAAGTTTTTTTTTATTTTCCCACAGGCTGCTGTGCCTCTTCAAGTGAGCTGTGTCAGACGGGCCTCAAATTGTTTGACAGTCAATCAAAATGTGTCAAGGCAAACTCAGATACCATAGTGAGCAGACTGTTAGTTGCTACTGTAACACCACCTGTCTGACAGGCCACGGAGGATAGCTAACGGATGAAAAATTGACTGTTTGGTTCCGCATTTTTGTGAAATTCTTTCAATGTGAGTTGAGCCTGGGAACAGTGCTAACATAAACCTCAATACTTATTTTGTTCTTTTCTTTTTTTTTGTACCACACACCAGAACCCACAGTGAGTGACATCTGACTTTGGTTGCATGGTTGTTTTTGGACTGAATAGTAAAAACCCCATTGTGAAGCAGGAAAGTCAGCATGAAGAGCCAAAAATCCTTCAAACAACATTCATTTTATAAGTGCATCATCTGCCATGACATCTTATTCCGAGAAACAAAATCTAAAAAACACAATCAGATCATAGATCGGTTTGACTGTGCTTTCTGTCTTCTCAGTTTGAATTACATTCTCAGATGGAGCAAAATTAGGACTGCATCGCTTCGCTAAAAAGCACACGGGAGCTTGACAGATCCCACCTGTGCATCCGTTTATCCTGAACAAGAAAGCTAAAACTGATTATTTGCGATCTTTGCAGGCAAAACACAATTAGACTGAATTGGACACCTAAGATGGAGGACTTTAAAAGGGATAGTTCTTGATTTTTAAGTCAGGTTATTAATTGTTAAGAATGGTAATATCTTACCTGCATCTTTATTTAACATAAAACTGATTAGATGGTCAAGGAGACAAAGGGAACCGGCTACAGACTCAAGCCCCTCAGACATTGACCGTCCTAAAAAGTAAAAAAAAAAAAAAAAAAAAACTTCTACAGAATTCAAAAGGAGGTTTAATATTTACTTGATTTTTTCAAACTTTTCCTATTTGTCATTTCTGCATTGGAGAGCTATTTATAAAGTACCAATAAATGTTAAAATATAAATAGTGTAGGAGGTGGTTTGCCACCTGTTAGCTTCCTGTATGAAACGTGCTGACAACTTTAGAAGCTAACTGGTTTTGGTCAAAATGTAAAAATCTAAAAATATATATACTGTACACATCAATAATGTATACCTATATATATATATATATATATATATATATATATATATATATATATATATATATATATATATATATATACACACATATATATATAAATATAACTTGCTGTTAGATGTCTCAGAAAATAACTTTTTGACTGACGAAAACGTTTTAATCCAAGCAGAGTACTGTACTACGGGAAAAAAAAAAAGTTAACTCAATAGCTAAAACATAACTTAAAACAATTCAATTGTTTGAGCAAAATTTGTTCAGAGTAAAAAAGCTCTACGTTGTAATAAAAAAATGCATTTATATTAATTTTCATTCTGATAAAGCAGTTTTTTCATGAAATAAAAGGTACCCACATCTCTACATTTAACAAAATTCTCAGAACAGGTATCTGACAAAGTTACCAGCTGCTATTTCATTGGAGGTGACATAGGAGACCTCTCCTAAATGTGGATTGAAAATGAACAATATGTACTTTATAACTTGATGTAATGGTAGTTTCCATCTGAACAGCTGTTAACATATTGCTTAAACTCTAGAAATCTCAGTTTCTATTGAATTACAAATACACACAAACTCAAACTTATTTTTGGTGATTTTAGTCAACTCTTCACTCATTAATTACTACGGTACTTTGTTTTATGTGCAGTATTACCTTCATATCAGATGATCTAATATGAAATTTTCTGCTTTTAAGACATTTTTCACACAGGAAGATCTCACAGGTAGCAAAATACCTCTTATACATTTTTTCTGTCAAAATATTCATAACTTTATTTAAAAAAAAAACTGCTTGATTGAAATATGATGGAAGTATAAAGGTTTATAAGACACTTTTAGCACAAACTGTTATTATTTTTGGAGATAGTGTTTTTTTTTAACACGACAAAAGGAGAAATTGATCTGGATAAAATGGAGAAACCAATAGAGTTATCTACTGCAGGTAAGACAAATGGCTTCAACTATCTTTACAGAAATTTTAAACTATACCTTTACTGTGCACATCTGCTGCCTTTCTTTATCTGGTGGCCCATTTAAACCCAAAGCAATCTCCTTAAGGAAATGGAAAAAACAGACGAGAGCAGCCATCATAAATGTCTTTGTTTCCTTATTGAATACAAAAACCAAATCTAATTATTTGAAATGACAACGTTATGCCTCAGGGTGAACAAGTGGTGGAGGCAGAGTTGGGAAGTTTTCCTTTGGATCTTAATACCGGTTCTGCTCCCGCTCTGCTAACTGTTAGCAAGAAGCCACAAGCATGCAAATATATATAAAAAAGCACAGAAAGATGAAACATGATCTTCTAATGTTATAATAAAATAAGAGCTAAAATGTTTCCAGCCTCATTCATGTTGACAACATACACCGTGGAGGAAAAAAAACATGGCTGTGATGTTTATCTACCTAATTTTTATTTTTCTTTACTGCATGAAAAGAAACTCTCGTTTCAGTCTCTTATTTTGGCGAATGGAGCCTGCCAGTCTTCAGACACATTAAGATGTTGAAAGAGTAAGAAAATAATGTTGGTCAACACCACCATCTGGAAGACGGCAACCAGCGGAAGACATTATTCATAAAACAAAACATCTCTGGAAATGTTGCATTGTTTTGAAATTCCAGCCATTTGTCCATGGTACTTCATCTTTTGTCCAAAAAACAAAGAAGTGACATGGAATGAATCAGGATCTTCGAGAGGGACTAGTGGCAAAGAGGCACAGCCTCAAGTAAAAATCTGACTGACATGCAAAAACAGGGTCTATTTTGCCTAGAATGTTCCAAATAGATGAACCGCAAATCAAGATAGGGTGGAGAATGCAATTGAAAAGTTAAACACATACTTATAGAATAAAAAGATCCAACATGAGCAGTTTATTCTTTGAGAACAGTCTTATGGCAGCAGCAGCAGCGGTGGTGTGACTGAGGTTTGCTGGGAAGAAATGTCCCTGGTTAGGGAGCCCTTGGTTCCTTGAGGGACAAACATTTCTTAAATGCAGTTTAACAATGTGAACAAAAAGAGTCAGAGCAAGTAGGCCCATTTTTTGTGCTGAGCATTTATAGAATGGTCCAATAAGGTGGCCAAGCTGTTGCTGAAATGTTTCAATCTCATAAAGTGACGATCACTGTGAAATAATGTTCTCAGAAAAGTAATAAGTGTGAGAACTCATGGTCAGTCTTGTACATAAAGTACTAAAGCGAAGAGGAAGAAGACAGTCACTTGTAGCGTTTTGAGGTCAGAGTTCAGAGGACTGGAAGTTTTTGACATTTGTAGATTTCTGCTTTTCTTAAGCGAATGGTGCCTGCTCTTGTCAAAGTTAAACCCTTATTATTGGTCCCTTTTTTAAGGCAAACCAATTGGACAAAAAGACAAGTGGCATTGCAGAGACAGTCCTTGGACAAAAAGGTAATATAATTATACAATGTACACAAAATATGGTCCTCAAAACAGGGAAGGTAAAAGCAGTTGTTTTTGTATGCACAGTATTCCCTTGATAGAGGAGGAGAACAGATTCAGGAAGATAGAAACAGTCATGAAGAGTTCATTAAGGTTTGTGTGGAAGAGAGGTAGGGATGGGCACTGCCTCTCAGTTACGCTTTGCTGCATTTTCCCTTCTTCTCTTTGCGCTGAAACTTTCTCAGACGTCTTGTCCAAACGTCCCTCCACTGAATCACCAGACTATTCTTATCAGCCACCAAGCCTACTCGTTCCGTCCCAGGACTGGAAACGCCTCCTCCTCCTGGGCCAACACCAGGACCCGGCACAGGGCCCGTCCCTCCCTCAGTGCCACCCATCACCAGGAATCTTTTGCTCATCTGAATCTTGGGACATTTGCAGGCCAGGTCTTTCATGTGTACCCACAGGATGTTGTCACCTCTCTTTAAGGGCTCGCCGCGGCTCTTGTACACAGACACCACACTGACTGAGAACTTGGCCCAGTCTCCAACCGTCTCCATGTCCAACACGTTCACTTGGACGGCTGAGAAAACAGTCACAGAAGATTCAATCAAATCATAAGTAGCACAACTGACATGTGAAGTTGCACCTCAAGTTTAAATACACTCATCATTGGCATAAATGCATATTTATTTGTGACTTTTATCTGTGCATTAGAAACATTACCTTTCCAGTATAGCATGATTATACACCTAACAACTGAAGATATTGTTTTATGAAATATTAAGTTTATTTTATGCTGTATATCCAAGACAAGTCACCAGTTCATCACAAGTCAACACAGAGAAACAAACCATTCACATATGCGTTCATACCTCAATTAAGAATACCCAATTAACCAAATTAATATATCTTTGTAGTGTAGGTAGAAGCCAGATTGCTTGAGGAGAACGCAAAGAACAGAAAAACCCCAGACTAGGCATTTTTCTGTTCCGCCCCGATCCCTATATAGGGTGCTATAGTGGTTTCGCCATTTTAGATGAGTGTCCGAATATCTAGTGGATTAAAACATGGTGGACTCCAAATTTCCCACAATGCATCTTGAAAAGTAGTGATCACCATGGCCACTAGACAAGCAGATATATCCCAGAATGTTTTGCGAGAGCTCTCCTTGCAACGATCATAGGATTTGTTGTGGCAGCTATAAAGAACAAATATGGCGCAGGCACCGTAGGGGGAGGCGGAGTTATATGACCAATGGGGAGCGAAAAGTAGTGATCATGTATCAAAACGGTCAGCTAACTGAGTTCACAAAAATGTCCACTGTATAGTCGCTGTTCTATTTAGTGATTGAGGGATTTAGGGGATAGGGTTAACGTTCAGACACAACCTTCTTTTTACAACTAGGCTACAAACTGCTAACAATTTTCCTTCATATTTGATGGTCAGTTTGGGAAGCAAAAGGATGCAATCAGGGTAAAAGAACATCAAAAATATATGGCAAGAATCAGCTGTAATGACTGACACTAACTGAATGTAATGAATAACGCCTACTGTACACATCTGGTTCAGGAGTCTAATAAATAAAACGAAAAGATAAAGAAATGGTTCATGCTTGAACCTTAGTATGATATAAAAATTGTGAGCTTTTCTCTACAAATTGCCTAGCAACATTAATCCATTATAGTTGGAAGTTATCATCCTTCTACTATATTGAAGAGGTAAAAACAAAAGTTAAACAATAATTATTGGCATATATAGCAATGGTTAGTTCATATAAACTTCTGAATGAAAACAAAAGAAGTGTGAAATTAACCTTACCATAGTCCTTTTTGCAATACTTCTTCATATTGATCTTAAGGTTGCCCTTCACTGGTTTACAGTAGGATTCACAATCTGCAAAAAAAAGGAAAAGAATTTACTTTTATGATGTCCTGCAACCCATGCATTCATGATACATTTAGCTCCAATACAAAGCTGAAATGACAGAATACTCTAAATGTGTTGTGATCTGTAAAACCACTTCTACCATAAGTAAACATCAACTTCTTTCTGTACATAGATGCAAAATAGTATCTGAATAGGAAATGGAAGAATTAACACTACATTGGTCTTTTTTAATAAGTGTGGAAATCTTGTCTTGAGAATGAACTTGAACTAATTAACATTATTTTGAAGGAAATCATGCCATAAATTGCTTTACATTTTGTTTTGTGTTTGAAAATAAAACTAAATTTAACATGTTTTCTGGTGTCTTGACGAAACCCTTTACATTTATCCAACCATGGTTGGGTAAATGTAAAGAGCTTAGCCTGCCAGAATACTACGGATAACTAAGACCACATACTGGGTGAATTACCTCCTTCTCCAGTTTTTGCATGACGAGAAGTTGAGGAATTCTGGTTATCACTGTGACAGGTGAAATAACTTTATTAATTTATTTTAAGTTGCCTCAACATGCATTGTATTCAACTGTAAAACATTTTGCGAAATATTCTGTTAATTTAAGGAAACTATCTAGTGCTTAAAATGTTAGATTATAAGGTTATTAAATAAAGTTTACTGTTAACGCTGATGATTGTGTACCCCATTTCCCTTTGGATGAACAAATTTGCTGATGAGTTCATTCAAACATAGAACCCTTCAAAGGCTCCAGAGCACATGCATGTAATTATCTCCCAAGGTTTGTTCTCCTGAAATATTTATTTTGTCCTCTTAACAATATAAGCTCAGATTCTCTGTTTGATTTTAACAGACATTTTCTATCAACACATGAGAAGAAGAGGAAATGCCAGAAACAAAGATGATTGAAGAAAAAAAACACAAAAAGAGATCAATGTGATCATGTTGCAAAAATAAACACTATAAATTCAAGGCTTGGTCCAGTGTAAATCACAAGTAGTCTATGAGTGACAAAATAGTGAGAGATGTAGCTGATTTAAATTGTTTATAAAGCTTTATATAAGATGCCAGCGGATTAAGTAAACAGCAGAAACTGGGTTTTACTTCTTTCAACTGTAAATCCATCTAAATAAGCCAAAGTTAAGGGATAATTACAAATATTGCACACAAACAACAGACGTTTTCTTTTTCTACTAAACTTTAGTTAGTAAGATGTTTAAAAAGTTTAAAATTTGTACTTATTATGTTTCATGAGTAACGCATCTATTTCCCTAAGGTCTTAACATGCCCCTTTTGAAGCCACTCCTTCAAATCTTTCCATTCAAGGGACGCTTATATGTTTTCATATTCTTCAATCAACAAATGATTGTTGGGAATTAAGTTCTTTTTGCCATGAAAGAGAGCTGAGTGGTAAGAAAAGTAAAAAAAAACAAAAAAGGATCTAAGGCATAGATGTGCATCTTTTTGCTAAAAAATATGGAAAAAATAGTCTCCAAAGCAACCATTAAAGACAATTTCTAAGTTTGTCTGCATGCTAAGACCCATTTCTGCATGAGCTCTTCAAATTACCAGGAAGTCATTATTTAAATCAGCAAAATTAATAAAATGGGTAATTTTTAACACCTGATTTGATGTAAAACTAAACTCTTTTTTACCAAAGTGAATATGACAGGAAAGCTACAGTATCTGCTGCAGGTAAAATACTGACTTTTGATCTGTCCCTTTGAACGTATCCGTGGCAACTTGTGTTGTTTTTGCCCAGGAAGACTTCAACATTTGGTAGAGCTTGAGACTGTACTGACTAACCCAGCACTTCACCACCGAGCTACTGCTAATTCACGCCATTTTTTTGAACATGTCATTTAGCAAACTAAGGGAAAATATTAGAAACAAAATATTGCAAAAAAATAAAAAATAAAAAACAACCAAAACATAAATTATATTTTTAGGACTCAGAAATAAAGGTTTGTTTTAGTGTGGTTACATGTAAGGAAGTTGGTCTTCCTATTTTTTGGAGGAAATGACTAAGTGGGAGGAAGGCACAGAGGACCAAAGAGCTCATAAAATAGGCAAGCAGCTTATTTATACATCATAATACTGGGAAATTTTATTAACCAAAGAAAGAAAAGGAGGAATGAGTAGACTACAGTGTAATGGAAGTTACACAAATCATGTTAAATACAGTACCATATTCTTTAGATTAAGATGAGATCAAGGCTTCAAAACTCAAATTGGTGTCATCTGTATAAAGCAAGTGTTTAATGGACAAGGATTAATTGTAAACAATGTAAGGATGCATGTGGATACATTATATCAGGCATACCTAAAGTCGGTCCCCGATGGCCACTGTCCTGGAGGTTTTAGAGGTTTCCAGTTGCAGCACAGCTGATTTTCACTGATAGCTTATAAACAGGCTTTTGCTGAACAGCAATCATCAGAATTAGCAGGGAAACCTTAAAAACCTGCAGGACAGCGGCCCTCGAGGACCAACTTGGTGCATGCCTGCATTATATAATGGGTATTTTTCAGTTATAATACTGGTCTCCAAACAGTGTTTTCCCATGACGAGTAGTTTAAGCTGGCTCTTCACCTGGAAAAGCTCATGGTGAATCGCCCAGTGACCCAGAAGGCCACCCGAACTGGCAACATCCACAATTGGCTCCAGAGATCCCCCCCTTTCACTGTGCCATGACAAGGACAAATTGCGTCCACCGCCCCCTTACACAAAAAGATTTCAAGGAGCTTTAGGTTCCTGATGGTCAAACTTCTTGAAGTTTAGAGCAAGAAAGATGCAAGAGTTTTCTATTTTGTTTGGTAGAAGCTGAGATGAATTCACAATCAGTGACTTGTGTTCTTAGACCCCTTTAACATTTTCCCAAGAACTAAATAGGATAGAGCTGCTCCTTTTTTCACAAAGTATAAATATAATATAGGGTTTATACTAGCAACCATGTAAAGCTATTAAAATGAGTGCATCAGTGAGGAAAATAAAAGCAGTGTATATTATTTCCTCATAAGCTAAAAAACCATGACAAAGGGCATTGTCCAATAATTTTAAGGATTGCAAGTATTTTCAGCTGTAAAGGAACTACTTTACAGCTGACAATGTATGCGCACTGTGTACCACTGCTGATCTGCTCAAAAATAAAGATGGATAAAAATTTGACTTCAAGGAGTTATATAAAAAAACTTTGGAGCAAAGAGAAAAAAGGAAATAGCACATATTTTTAAAATTGGAAGTCTGCGCGGCTTTTCATGTAAACAAATAGAGGGAAGATGATAAGGCAGAAATATTTTAGGCCTTGTAGATCAAAAAGCTGGTTATAATTAGCTAAATTAAAATGCCCTTTAATTCTACACTAAAATACTAACACAAAAGTGGGAGGAGATAAATAGTAAGGAGAAATAAGACTAAAACTAATCCCTGGGGATCATCACTGAAAACTATGGAAGAATGTGGTTAGGAATATTCTGAGTGGCAATAATGATGTATTTATTTATGTATTTTATTTTTTTTTTACAGTGTCCTGTCTGGGAATGTGGCAATAAGAATAATTGTCTTGATGCTTAAAAGAGCCCAACAGATTTTACTTTCACAAGTGTAGCAGTATGGCAATTGCCATATTGCTCCACTTGTTTCATGCATATAAATTGCTTTATTATAATTATGCAGGGAGTTTTACAGTTTATATGGATACTGCAATGTAAATAGAACAGAAAAACAGAAGAAGAAAAGGGAAAAAAGAAAAAAAAGAGAAAAGATGAAAGAAAGAAGAGATAGAAAGGAGATAATGACAAATATTTATAATGGTGTATTTAAAATTATAGTGGAGGCTGCCCTTTTTCCGCGTGGATCAACGAAATAAGTGGTTCTCCTAATTGCCAATCATTCTGGTGATCTGTTTCTGAGCATGCGCACTTTCAGGCGTATATGTCTGCTGAGCTACATTTTCAGAAAGTCATTAAAGCTCACCTTTCTCACCGCTGTTCTTTAAAAAATGGCAGAGGGTCATAAGAGAAAAAGTGTCTACGAAGTGTATCAGAAGAAAAGAAAGGTTTAAGAAGAGAGAAACAAGACCAGAGTGTTTTTTGAGAGATTCTTTTATGTGATAACGTGCACTGAAAGCACAGGTCTGGCTACCCACTGATTACTCGGTTGTGAGGTTTCTACTTGACACGTAAAGTTTGGCATGCTATTTGGAGAAATGCATTTCACATCACTGCTAGTAAAACAAAGAGAAATGGGATTGTGCATGCTCTCGCATGTTTAATAGGCGTTTCCTCTCGGGAGCAGGGACAGGGTTGTGCATGTGCATTTTTTTTTTTAAGTGGAGAGGGCAGGTCTTTTCAAAATTCCTTCCGTATACCTTTAAGAGGTATGAATGAATCCAGTTATCTGAAGAGCCAGTCGTACCAACGCATTTTTATATTTCTTCAGAAATTGGAACAAGTTTATATATACTAAGTTTATAGCCTAGAATATTCTGCCATCAGTAGATCATATTAAATGGGACACTGACTACATGGATACATGCATCTAAAGGAGCAAAGATGAAAGATGGATTTGTATTTTACCATTAATAATTATATTATTTTATTGCTAGGTAACAGATGAAGGTTTTCCATCATCTAACCTCGCCACAAACTGTAGGAATGGGGAAATCAATAACTATTTAATGTTCTCTTTAATGCGATATTTTTTCCCTGTATTTTATGCTTTTATGAGTTATATAAAAATCTGTCCACTGTTTGCATTTCCAAGGTTAACCTTTAACTTAAGCCAAGGTATCTAATCATTAAAAATATACTTAACTCTCAAAGTGTTGCTTTTGAAAGTTAAGAACACACAAATCAAAAGTTGAACCCAACTTAAAAAGTAAAACCTGACAGTTTGGGATTTAAAGATTTGTACGATGTTGTTGAAACAACTGTTAAACAATAGCTGGTGCTTTTAAAATGCTTTGGTGTCAAATAGAGTTGACAAAGTGGGGGGCAGAATCTACAGCTTTGAGTGATGATATATGCTTTAATTCACCTAATGAATCAACATTTCCAAATTGCAACCACCATTTAAAGCAAACAGCTGCTGCATGAAAAATAAGAACAGGGTAATTGACCAAAGCCTAAGTTGGAGAGTTGAAAGGAGTGACTGAACATATTTCCCCAATTTCATTTGCCAACTCTTTTTTCCCACCTCGGAATTCTAACTTCCATCATATTTTGCTGCGATACTGTAACTAATCACCTCTGCAGCCAATCCACTGGCTACGGAGCAAGGCTCCGCTAACTTAACTGTGCCAAGGAGACAGAGTTTTAAGACAATGGAAAAATCCTGCCTTCCCCAATGCTCTCGTTCTGCACTCATAACTTCAAACATTCAGACCCACCCTGCATTAATATTTATTCCACACCTTACAATTCCTGTCTAGAAATGTTGAGAAATATGTTTCGGTTACTCTCGTAAAGCGGCAGTTCTTATGAGTGAGGTGCAGAGAGGCTACACTAACCTGCTGGCTCCTCCGTGCTGCTCACCGCAGCTGTGGGGTTGACCACAGGGATTTCTGAAACACATACAAGTAATGCAAATTAAGTTCACTGGTTAAATGGAAACCCATAGCTTTCAAAGAAGCGTAAAAGGATCGGGTTTTGAACCTAAGTAAGCATTTATAGCTGCAGAAACAAAATACATAAGGTTATTAGAGGAGATGTATATAAACACAAAAAGCAAATCAAGAGGTTCAGTAGAAGAAGATGACAATAATTAGAGACACTGGGGTTGGATTCTGCCAAATGCAAGTCAGCTTTGTAAATGAAAACACATGTTTCTTTCCTGAATTGAGTCTGACAGACGGACAGGGATACTTTTTGGTGGGAAGATGTAGAGCTAAGCCTGGCACAGACTAATAGGGTGGGGTTCAAACTATAAATGACAAAAAACATGAACGACTGGTTCCGATTTTATGAGTTAAATCAAATTGACTGTAATTTGACTCCAAGTAGCAATCCAGTGAAGCAGAGAAAATGCATTAAAAAACACTTATTGAAGGGAGAGGAAGATTCTTTGTGGCTCACTGAAAAAAAAAAGAAACAGAAAGTTATGCCAGATTAGTCTCATGCCCCCCAGCAGATGCTGGGTTAACACTCCTGTGTAATATCCACGCCAGCACGTGGAGACAGATGGACAGATGGCAAGGGGTGCAATTTTGCTTGGATCGTCTTGAGGCAGATGCAGCCCCCTCGCTTGATGTGCCCGCTGGCTGCACATTTAAAGTGGCTCGAGGAATTCCTCATGGACCTCTGCTCTAATTGTATGCAACTTTCCAATACAAATGCTAATGCTAACAACGGGTCATCCGCTTTTACCGTAAAAGAGAATTACCGGAACGCTGGCTTTGCATCCACCCAGAGGATCTGCTTTTGATTAAATTTGGATGTTGAGGGTTTTCAGCCGAGCGAGTGGGAGTGTGTTGGAGGTGGGGATGGGGCGAGTCTTGGAAAGCTGATTTGAGGCAAACGCAGCAGTTGTCTCAAGACGATTATGGACACCCTGCCAAACAAAACAAACAAGGGCGCATGGAGGCTTTGTGTCGGCAGGCGCAGCTGCTAGAAGCCACTCCGAGTCCCTGAGCCCTCGTGGCCTCATCTTGTGAAAATGGACAGATGATGAAAGGATCATTTGGATATGGGCTGCTGCCATCATACTAATTGGCTGCTTAATGGGCTTGTCTTCTGTCGTGGAGAACAGACGCCTCAGGAGGTTAAAATTAGTACCAAGAGGCCAGTAAAAAATATTAATCGCAGGATTTTTTACAGATAATGAACATGAAACTTTGTGATAATTGTTCATATTTGGTATGTAGACGTCACAAAATGCAGTGAATTGTATCGGGATTTTTTACAATAGACAAACTAATGGCATTAAAACATTTTGTAAATAAAAATCAGGAAAAATGTTTGAAAATCTGGACTTTTCTCTGATACCACCAATTTAATAACTATGTTGCCAACTTAATAACCATATTAGTAAAGAGAATCAACCTGGGTGTCATGCAACTCCCTGTGATTTATTGATGCAAAATGGAAGATGATGTTGGCAGCATTCTCCTTCATAGGATCAGGAGAGCTGTGAAGATGAAAGCACCTAAAACCAGGACATGTTCCAACCGTACAAGGCCGCAGAAGACCGGAGAACAGGGCGGAGGTTTATTGTGGAGGACAATCCTACATATTCTGACAGAGTTACAGTGGAATGTCTTAGATTAAAGCGAATCCATGTGTTAGAATGGCCTAGTCTGGGACCAAATCTAATTGAGAATCTGTAGCAAGACCTAAAACTAATGCTCAGAGAGGCTCTCCATTTAATTTGAGCTTTAACTTTTCTGACAAGAAAAATTAGGCAAAAACTTCTAGCCTTTGATTGTGCAAAGCTGGTTGAAACAAACTTCAAGCAGCTTTACCAATGCTCCTTAGCCAGGGGGACTTAATATAAATGCAAATTGCACCTCACAGCAAAGTGCAATTCTGATTGGTGTTTATGTCGATATGGTTTAATTGGTAATTTTCTTTTGTGAAACTTCAGTACAATTCATATCATCAAATCATTTTCCTTGCAGTTCATTACTGTGGACTACTTTCTTTTGGTTATTAACTTAAAATTACAATGCAAAACAAAATGGTTGCAAAAAAAAAACAATTCAAGGGTAATACGCATCACTGCATGGCACTTTCTATGCAGTAGAACCTTAAAAGAAATTTATAAATGCAATTTTCTTCCTCTTACAAGACACTTTGGTGTCACCCAGACCCATGTGTAGTCGGTCATCCATGTCCACAGTTGTCTTTTCCTTCATAACCAACTGCCATCTGCTCCAAAGCTGCATGTGAGAGTACCGACATGGCACCATGTGTCACTGTAGAGCAGCACTAGCTGTGGTGCTGGGAGGCATGGCAGGATTTGACTCTAGTCTGTGAGAGTGCAATGTGGCACTCAGTGTGGAGGTGAGTTACCCTCACTTACAAATGCCTGCTTGTGCCAGGCCACTGGTAGAATTTATAATCCACATGGACACACACACACGTTTGTCACAGGAAATTAAACACCAGATCAACAGCACATAGAGTATATACAAGAGTGGAATAACAGTGACAGCCTGTATGGATCTGAATACTAGCTTTCCAGTGACTCATTGGAAATCAAGCACACTTCTCTTTATTTCTTAATATATTTCAAACAAACTATATTAAGTGAAAACTACTTCGGTCATCTCTGAAAAAACAATTTCCTCACAGTGGTTTTAGTCAATATCTACCAGGTTTAAGAAGAGTCCCTGGAAATCTGATTAGATTACTAATTCGTGAAGAATGCATGTTTGAGCTTAGCATCTGTTTTTACCAGTATTGGTGTGTTGTAGGGTGCATCGATTACTTACTGATACAGGGGGCCACTGGTGAACGGCTCTGCTGGTAGCCTTTGGCGCAGCGGTTGCAGGTGATGCCAGTGACGCCGTCCTTGCAAGGACACTGGCCGGTGGTTTGATTGCATGTCTTTCCCGCGGCGCCCACAGGGTGGCAGTCACAAGCTGAGGGGAAAGGTGTTGAAAACAGGTGTAAAGGAGGAGGGAGAGTGTTAATATAAGAAATACAGAGAACAAAAGCTAAACACACCATTTGGTTAGACTAAAAATGTGGGTTTAAACTGCTCACATTGGAGTAATTCAATGTTTTCGAACATACAGAACAAAAGGCAGGAAGGTTTTAATGTATTTATAAATTATTAATTTTTATTTTGTTTCAGTCTAGATAACTTTTGCTTTTCGGTTGCTTAAAATTCTGGAAGACTTTGGATATTTTTTGTGTGTTGACAGTGACGATGAAAGGGGAGCGCGAGTGATTTGTTCAATAGATTAGTGATGGGAAACCCAAACACGATGATGCACCCTCATCTCTCCTTTCTGCTTTTTTTTTCTTCTTCCAAACAGTGTCTGGTGAGAAGTGCTGCGTTATTTCATCACTTCCCAAAAGCTCGGTCAATGCATGGCAAATGCCAGAAGCAACAACCACTGCTCCACTCACCTCGCTTTGGCAGGACTTCTCATAGTTTTGCCGGTTCTGGGTGATTCATTTAAGCTACTTTATCCAAATGGAAACTTTTTGGCACCAACAAGTTGTTAGATACATGATCCAGGGTGTGGGTCAGAAGCACTTTGACAGATATTTACAAGAAAGCAGAGAGGATGACAGGAAGAGGGAAAGAGCCACTCATCAGAACGAGAAAAGGAGAGGATGTGAGAGAAACATGAGAAACATTTCGCCTTAGAATCGTCAAAACACAGACTCTCATGTGCTCAGCCGAATAAACAAAAAATGAATCCAACTATATTCTTGTGCCTAATGCCATCAAATAGAGTGCAATTTCTTCAAAAATTAAAGTCTAAAAGGTGCATTGCATTTATGCTCAGCTTTCTAGAATAAATACTTTGTAGAACAACCTTTTGTTGTCATTACAGCTGTCAATTAATTAGTCTCAACCAGCTTTTAATATCCAGAGATTAAAAGTGCTGCTGAAAAGAGCTTATCTCCATCAAATTGGATAGATAGTTTAAATTTTCAAAACTTATCACAGATTCCTGACTAGCTTCATGTATAGACTTTCACTGCTTCATTCTTACATATGAGTAAGGACTTAATTTGTGACTATCGTTTCAGATTTCTTTTGTTGGAGAAACAATGAGCTACTTGTTTCATTCCATCACATCAAATTCAAATAGCATACATTTCATTTCATGGTTGAATTATCGAAAACTATGTTTAAGAACTAAAAATGCTAAAGCATTAAATCAGGTCTTTTTTTTGTTGCTGTGACTTTTTATTTTTTTTACATTGTCCATTCTAATATATTTATTAAACACAGTCTGAACTGTCCTTCCTCTTATTTTCAGGGACTTTTTTGTTCATGCAATTATTAATAAAAAAAATGCATGACTGTCTACAATTTCATTTTTGGGGGGGAAATCCCTGTAATCAAACAGTGACTGATACGGCTTAGTAGAGAAAGGCATCTACTGACACGCCAAAGCTACTTCTCACCACCTAACAAAACTGTGACTGTATTTGTGTGCCTCTTATTTCTTTGTAAGCCCCTACAACAATAGCAGAGGACTATACCATCTGTTGACGGGGCCAGTGGGGGGTTTTGATGGTTGACTTTCACTCAGGGGTGATTGTGTACATCTGGAAACGGTACAAAAAGATTAACTGCAGCCCAGATCTTCAGAAACACTTGTGCCTTTTCCTTGCAGGCTAATCAGGCCACAGGTGTGAAAGTGATTGTGTTCAATTTAAAGCTATAAATCCATAACCTCAGAATGTATTCAAGCCCTCCCTCAGAAAAATGCAGGCTGTTCCACAAAATATAACCTTTGACAACTTGTTACTTGTGAGGTGAGCAACAACACATGAAGGATCTTGACCCTGGTCTGTTGTAACCACACATGTGCCCTCATCCATCAGTAAGATTTGAACCTGTTGCCAGTGATTATTGTAACCACTAAACCCAAAAAAACAGCTGGAAATGTATGGCATTCCTAAAATGTATGTCTTTAGAGCTAAAAACCAGTATTAACAAGCAGTGAATATTAAAACTGATGATGCAGCTAAATATTTCAAGAAGTAACGTAGGATGTCTAATCAAAAACATCAAACTCCTTGGACACCGTGTTTACTCTGTGTATGAAAATATGTGTCCAGAACCCATAAGGTATAAACGCAGGTTATTTGATCTGTAAGATATTCCCCTGCTGTTGATCTCTCATGCCGGCTGAGACACGCAGCAAAGCACTGACAGCCCATTGTTTTCACACCGATCCCCTAACAGCACAGGGGTATCAACCAGGTCAGCATAAACAAGATGTGAGTTATGTTAGGCATACTCACCCTGCTTCTAAATAGGCGCTGGTGGTAAAACTTCTTAGTTTACTGTCAATGTCTACATTATTATGTAAACTGTGACCAGTGCCAGATACCCTTGGAGTTCGGGGGGACAGAATCTGGATGGGGGTTGGGATGGTTGCTGGTGTCACTCTCCAGATCCAGCTTCCCTCCTCTCTGGACTTTAATGTGCATGGCCTAGAGCCAGTTAAGGAGCTTTAAAAACAACCTCAGATGTTGATGACTTTTCAAGCCTGTGTAAATACAGATGTGACAGGAGGCGCTGCCTAAGAAGGGCAGGTCCTATAAGTGGCCTTTCTGCAGTTTAGCAGATTGCTGTTGGTTCAGCCATCTGTGCTTGAGGTGTTTGTAGTTTTTGTTTGTAGGTTTTTGGTAACATTAAAGGGGTTTGGGCAAACATGAATCAAACAATACACCTCTGTTAATTAGTGTTGCGCCTATGCCATTATTTGCCCCCCATACGATACCTGGCTGTGCAACATTGGCCGATACCGGTACCATTCCGATACCATCTGTTTGAAATAGATGTTTATATGTATGAAGAACTGCATACTACTTGGATGTAAAATAATTGCCATCATGGCTTTGTCAAGCTGCTGCCTACCTTTGTGAAGCAGGAAAAAGACTAATACAAAGTGAATCCAGTAGGACTTTTTACCTGAAATGGGTGACAATAGTTGAAACTTTAATTCTCAAAATGGTATCGGTGCCCTATTTGTCGGTACTCGCCGATACTGATACCACCATTTTACTGCTGGATCGGGGCCCTGCCCCATAATGGTATTGGTATTGGTGCAACACTACTGTTAATGCTAGGCTCCCTGAAGTAACATAACTTTCTTTTATCTTGTTTATGAGAAAATGTGCTTGATAAATATCTTGATAAGGTTTCATTATATTTAGGAAAAAGAGATATAAGGTAAAATAAACTTTAAAGATTATTCACTTTGAAAAGCTGGAAAAGCAAAGTAAGATTACGTACGAATAAAGGACTAAAAAAGGATTTGTTTTATTTAACTTGTTATATGGAACAATCTCCATCTAGTTTGGTGAACACCCTTTCAGTCATATTTCAGAGTTTCTAAATAAGCAAAACAATAATTTTTTATTTCTTGTGTTCAAACAGAGGTAGGCCTCGCAGGCTCCTCGCAAATGGTCCTGTCAAATACTCAACGTCTGCACCTATTTGCATCAACTTATGTTAAACTCTGTTTTAGACTTCCTCCTTTTAACCGTGAGTTCAAACATTGATCAAATGTGGTCAAAAGTTTGTGACTGGTGGCTATGAAACAAGTCAGAGCAGAAAGTGTTTCCATAAAAGCTCAGATAAAGAGTTTGAGACCCAAAACAGCAGTTTAGTTTAAAAACAGTAATTCCTTTTCCTCAATCATAGGGAATACATACCTTTAAGTAATAAATTACCCAAAATCAAAATATTTTTTTCGACTGTCTATAATGGCACAAACCCCATTCTTTAACAAGCACCTCATTTTTCAGACATATTATCTATAAACAAAGCTGTCAAAAGGTACTGTAACACACTTTTGATGAATTAATTTTATACAGGGATATGAAAATACCTAAAAATTTATTTATTTTCACTTTAGCACATTTGAAGAATAAGCAAACTCTAGTTCAAAGGCTAAATGTCCTTTCTTTAATCAAAGGGGTAGCTAAAACGCCTTGAAAGCAAGATAAATTGTTGTTGGATTTGTGAATTGACCAACTCCCGAAAAAAAAAAAAAACATCTTGCCAGAGGCCAAGAGGTACATTTGCCTCAAATAAAGATATGTTTCAAACTAATGAGATGCAATGAGATGACAAGAAGCAGCAGGCAGAAACAAAACAAACATGGCTGCGCCGGTGGAAGTACCTGTAGACTCCACTTTTCAGTATGTTTTAGTAGGAATACTCTCTATTTCTTCTAAGTAAACAGATGTGATTTGTGCCTTTTGTTGATGGGAAAGATGTCTGCTCTGTCCTCCCAACAGGATTTGTTAAGAGTTTAGTTTATCAGTCACCTCCGCTAGTTGTGAAACAATTCAAAAAGATGCAGAAGGAGCCCGTCATTACAATCATGTCTCCTTTAGACACTCTTATAGACCACCAAGTGACATTACTGCTGTAAAACCTGAGGGCAATGATGAAAAGGCCCTCCTCGGCGATTACCAGCTGGTAATTGGAGCCCAGAGTCATGGCTGTTTAACTTTAAAAGGATGTTTTTATCCGAGCTGTACCAGAAAAACCTGTCGGAATTATTCTGGTTGAAGGGTACCCCACATACGCATGCTAATTAAATATAAAACACACTTATATGTATATTTATTATACATCACAGCTGCTACTGCGATTGGCTAAAAGCTCAAATGGGAGGCAGGTGCTAGTGATTTATCCAATCAGCTCAAGAAGAATTATACTGAATGCCCCTCCCTTTTTTGAAAACTTTCCACAGGAAGCCATCCAAATGGATATTATACAGAATTCAAATTGAACTACACATATAAATCTGGCTAAGGTTAAACACTAAAGGCAGACTTCCGAACTATCTGTACGATATTTTGTGAGAACACTTACATCCCCATCATGGTTAACTAACAGGCATTATTGGACGTCAGAGACTGGCTTCATGGATGTTGATGGTAGACTTTCTTGGTCCAGCAAAACGAAACTTAATTTTGATTGCATTAATCTGGTTTCCAGTGTGACTTATTTTCTCAGTGATATATAAAGGGGGTGGACACTTCCAGTGTGACTTATTTTCTCAGTGATATATAAAGGGGGTGGACACTTATTTGAGGAGGAGGAACTGCAGGAGAAGAGCCAGGTGACTGGCTGAGCTCAGAAGAGAAAACAAGCTAAAAACACATTGCTAGTAGTCCCTGAGAGAGAGGCAGGGTACACCATGGACATCTCAGGTGTTAATCAACAGGGCAGACAGAAATAAACCGGACAAACACTGCAAAAATTACTATCTAGCTAAGATACAGTACATCTCCTCTGAGTCTGGAAGAAACCCAAGCACCAAAAGAAAACCTATGAATGCATAACGCTGACCCTAACTTTGCAAATATCTTTTTCTGAAAAAGAGAAATACTATTTCTTTTTAATTATTTTGAAATTGTATGAAATATTACAACCCTCAGTTTTTTGTACAAACAAGCTCTTGTCTGATGAAGATTATTCTAATTAATATAAGATATTTTATTAATTTTATAGGAGAATGTAGCATAAAAAAGCAGATTTATTGCCCTTTTTTCAGTTCATTTTAATCAGAAGCAGGAGCAGACCATAGGGTCTTTCTACTGACCACTCCATTTCCTTAGAAAACACCTGCATTTTTATGTCTACTTGCAGGTGTGAAACTTAAGCAAAACCTTAAACTTTATTCATGACATAAAGAACAGAGAATAGTGAGTTTTAAAATAGAATTATGAATTTAGTGAGATAATTCAGAGGTGTCAAAGGTTTGCAGTGATTTAAGGCAAGGAAAGCCAGCAGTCAAGGAGCCGGCAATGCTATGAAACATCTGTTGAGCTGGAGATGAAAAGAGGGGCTGACACAAATGGGGGGGGGCTCCTTGAAGGCCAGGGGATTGCTCTGATCAGTCACTGACAGAGCCAGACAAAAAAACTTTAGAGATGTTTTGACTTACATCTCTCTCAGCTCTGCAGCCATGATGGAAACAAATGCATTCAAGTCTTGAGGCATGCATAGATGTGTTGTAGCAGTTCTTTCTTAATGTTGCAGTTTAAGATGAAGTCAATATTATATCTCAGTTTTATTTGTAAACCAAAATGCTATTAGGTCTTTCTACCCTTATATATTGAATAGCTCCGAGTCCCTGTGGTCCTGACCTGTACAACTGGGCCCTATTATCATCATATCTAACCTTCCAGTGTTGGGTTACAGCTTGCATCTGTGACAGAGAAAAAGTCTGTTGAAGTCAGCAAGAGAGTTTGGCTGTGAAACTTCAACCGAAAGACCTTTAGAACCCGTTAGAGTTGGAAAGTCTACCTAATGATATCTTCTTATGCTGTAGGAGATTTTTTTGTTTGTTTCACCAGGACCGGCAGGGGAAAAAACAGTTCTTCTCAGCTTCTTATTTAAACATTTTCCCGAGCAAAAAGTACAGGAAACTAATGTTATTTTTACAAGGTCTCCAGCCCAATATCTGGCTGAAAAATATATTCACTACAAATGTGAACTAGTAAAATGCATTTTTTCCATCGAGAGATGCCGCGGTGAAAAGATACTATTATGTGGTGTGTGGGGTATTGGGGGGGAACATTTGATGGGAAAGCCAGGGAAGCTTTAGGCATAGTATCATTTTAATTCTAAGTGTAACAGCATGCCAAATCAGACATGCTGTTATTTTTTTATTGTAAGTTGCCATGGCTGCATATGTTTTTCATTACACTTTAGCATCTTGCTCCTCTTAAAGTTCTTCGGAGCTGACATGATTATTAGGAGTATTAACAGGTTTAGAACATCTCATTTGGCCGTTTTGTTTTACCACTTGTATTGAAATATATAAAACAACGCTTAAAGGCAAATGTTTTAAAGGAACATGAACAACAAAATACTTGAATAGTGACTTACAAAACTTAACGTTGCCATTTGTTAACATCATCGATCACACTGGATTACGGTAGTAATACAGACCTAATGATCTCTTAATGTTTTGTTTATGTCAACTGATTACATTTAAGGTACAGTGGAGGATGATCTTTTTCCGGGTGGATCATGAAAATAAGTATTCTTCCCAATTGTCAATTCTTCTGGTGATATGTTTACATAAGGCCGTCCTACGTGCTCTTCCCCATTTTCACTTACCGGTGGTGAGTCTGACATAGTGGAAAAATTGCAAATCTTCTTTTGGAAAGTAAGCTTGTATGAGCGATGCTAACAATAACTTTTAAACAGAGCATGTACGAGGAGAAATGGGTTTCTGCCTGCTCTTCCACACGTTAAATAAGCGTTCCTTCTCAAGAGCGGGTACAGGGTTGTGTATGTGTAAGCAAAATGAGTTGGGCTGTTCAAACTTTTTCTTATTTCTCCTCCTCCATTTGCATTTTTTTTTTATCTTAACTTTAACTGTAAAAACTCAAAGCTTCACTTGAAGTTCCGACGCATATGTGCAATATGGAGGTGTATGTGTTCCTCTGAAAAGCCTTAATTCAACAAAACACATAATTAATTCTGTGTATAAAACAGCCAGAGCCAAAAAAAATGTGCTTTTCTATTTATAAATGAATTATTTTAGTTAGGGCATAGAGTTTGGAGGTTGTTGGTTCGAAACTCACCCCTCCGGAATGCATAATGGCAGCCCACTGCTCCCCAAGGGGATGGGTTTAATGGAAAGGGAAATTTCTCAAATGGGAGATCAATAAACATAAATTGTTATTCCTGATGATGCCCTTTTTTTCAGCTAGATCAGTAGCAAGGCACTTTGGCTGAAACAATTAATTGGAAATAATCCTGATATATCCTGATGAATAAATTATTGAAATATTCGTCAACTAATTTAGTAATCGGTTAATTTTTAACTGAAGCTCTAAACCATGCCTTCAGCTGACAGAGCAACCCATTTAGAGCAGTAATTATATCAAAATTGTAAAAAACAAAACAAAAAAAAAACATAAATATGTTGCATTTAAGATTCAAAAAATTTTTTCTTCTGCCAATATGCTCTATCCAGAACTCCTCAAGTGGAAAAGTTTTAGTCTCACCTGGTTTATTTTAATAAAAAGCTTCTTTAAGGAACCTTTAGTTATCCAATTATTAATCTATTAAGCGAAAAAAAAAAATCAACAGATTAAACGATTTCCAAAATAATGGTTAGTTGCAGCTCTACAAGTCACAATGGGCAAACCACTTACAGTGCCTATAGCCTTACATTAAAAGTTTTAAATTGCTACCAGCATTTTAGAAAAACTGAAGCTGAATAAGGACTTTAACCAACACTGAAACCTACCTAAAACTCTAAAAGAAATGTCATGAATCTTACTCCTAAAAGAAAATTCAGCTTTCTGTTTGTTGTTACCTTTGCAGGCACGTCTGTGAGTAATTGGTCGAGCCATGTCTCTGTAAAACCCCTCCTTGCAATAGTGACAGTGGCGTCCGGCTGTATTGTGACGGCAGTTCATGCAGACTCCTCCACTTTTTCTTCCAGATAGCTTGTATAGCTCCATGTTGAATCGACAGCGGCGGGCATGGAGGTTGCAGTTGCATGCTGCAGAAGACAGGAGAAAAGATTTTATTTATGCATGTGTGCAGATGAGCTGAAGAAGCATTAAAACTTCCACTACATCTAACACTTTTCCACATGTGCGGTCCTGTAAAAATGTGTACTTCTATGTGCATCATATGAGAGCAGAGAAACATTTTCCAGTAAAGCAGGATAATACTGAGCAGTTTATAATCCACATTGTGGCTCAGAGTCTGGCTGCTCTTCCAGAAATCATCCATCAAAAGTTCTATTTGCAGAGCTCATTTTCTCCATTTCATAATTAATGAATTCAGCTTGTCCCAGCCCATTAGATATCCATCTCTGGTGGGAGAGACGTTAATTTCATGAATCAGTGATGAGAAAAGACTTCAAAGATCTATTAAAGCTGAGTCCAGTTCAGATAAGGAGGTGTCTTCCAAATGAAGCGAGTTAGCAGGATAGATGGGAAATGGAACTTCAAGTTTTCTCCCACAAATGACTTCTTGATGTCACCTTGGCTTCTACTGTAACTCTTTCCTCAGATTCCTCTGCATTCACAAACTATGACACTATTGATAAACTCTAGTCACTCTCAACGTGGGCTTTGCGTTTGAACCGTCAATTGTGAAACCCACCATTCCCTTGTGTGTGAAAGCATTTGATTTACTCCCTCCATTCTTTAAATCAGAGTCAGAGCCAGACCTGAATTCTGTCCAAAACTTCAAAGTGGCCGTTTGTAAGGGTTCTGGTTCAGAGTTACCCGCAGATAAATTAGAAAGAGGTAAACAATGGTAGTGCATTTGACCAAAAATGTCAACAAGTGAGGCGAGGGCGGATTACAAGGTGATCACAAATAAAGCTGGTATTAGTTACATTAAGTCAGGAAGGAGGCTGCTCGAGGGAACATATTTCAATAAAAAGGAATGTCTACAACTGAAACTAAACCAAAATAACAATGGGAGGAAATAAGTAAGTAAAGACAGAAAATAGTTTGCCTTTAACTTCTCTGTAGGCTGTGGGAGCAGGACAGCTGAAACAGATGAATATTTTTATCTAATCTTTTATCCGTTCACTAATCCATATATTTTAGGATGAACAGAGTATAAACCGCATCCCTGGAGTAAGACATGGCTGAATAGATACAGACACTTAATTTACTGTCAACCCCAATGATGCTCCTAAAATCCTATCTATAGCTTCAACCCTTCAGATAAACCCATCCACATCTGAAGTCTGGCTATCGGTTTTGCATTAAGCATCCAGTATGCATTTAAATTATCCTTCTGACATATTTCAGCACTTTTGACATGCATTTCCCATACTGTAAGTTGTAGTCATCATCAAACAATAATGTAAGTTATTTTATGAATTTATGTAATCAGTCCTGCAGCAAACAATGTCTGAATGTTCAATGGCAAACATAGCATTGGGGAAACTATCACTAGTTTAATGCCATATAGTAGGTAACGGAAGTTGTTTTCTGAAAAATTTCAATTTCTTAAATTTATAATTATAAGAATATGGTATTGTTTTAAGTATTTCTTTTTAAAATTCTTTCACTGGTATAGCTGAGGTACTCTAATTCACCGGAGAGTTTAAGTACAATATCAATATAGATGCAAAAACTGAGAAACTGCATTTTATGTTTCAGGGCAATCTGCTTATCTCAGGTACTGGCTTATTGTTCACATTTTGGATCCATTCAATTCTTTCTCTGCAATCAAAAAGCAAGCAGACTCACCTTGCTACTGGGTGGGTTTGAAATTAAGCAGAAGACACATTTTGGGAAAATTGATCTATATCTCACAGTATGAGTATCTGTGATTATGCTGTAAGCCTGATGGCTTTAGCAATAAAACCTATAAATTAATGATCATTGCATCTTCCAAAACTATTTGGCCAAATCAACACAAATTAGTTTTTTTCAGACACAGACAATCTAAAAGCAATGTTTGCTAAAGGAGAAAAATATGAATACATATCTTAGTCTCTGTCTTAGTGTTTGTTTATTTAATCTTGATCCATTTTGTCTTCAACCTACATAATTTCTATTTACTTGTGATAAATAAACCAACATATTTTACTTCGAAATAAGAGTTTTGACATCTCACTTATAAGGTCTATTAACAGTTGCAGCTGCCGTGCCTCTAGGAGTTAAGTTTGAAGAACTATTTCTATATTAAATATGTGTAAAGAAAAAAAAGTTTCTGGTTTAAGGAATTATGAAAGTGCTGGACCACATTTACAGTCAAAGACAGCGGCCTGGCCCCCCAATACATTTGGAAGGGGCCCACTTTTCCCTATTCCAGATTCTAGAAAGGGGGAAAAAAATTTTAAGGGTAGGGGGCACATTCCCAGACTGTTTTCTCTATTCCATCTGGTTAGTAGTGCTCCAACTTGTATGGGATTCTTCTAATAATGAAGTGCTGTTTTATGTATAAATTGATATCAAAGCAGCACTGTTTGTGTAGAGACAGGATTTTGGGTTTCTTTGGTCTGCTTTGATGAACCTTTGAGCAGAACTGACCCCTTGATCCAGTAGAACAGTTCAGAGTAGACGAGTAGGTAGATCTAAGAGAGAATTTCCCTTTAGGATATGAAAACAATGTTTGTGAAATGAGTTCAAAGCATTGAACCTTCAATATGGGCACATTTTAAATAATGGATCTCTTTTTATCAATTAAAATCAAAGAACAGTGAAAATCAACAAAGTCACTAATATATTCTGGTTTCAGATTTCTTATTTCTATCTGCATGAGAAACATTTATGCGCGTTCTTATTTCCCCAGAAGGAAAGTTGACAAAGAAAACACCATCTCAGATGGATCACTGAAGTTATGCAGGTTGGGAGCTGTGGTTACGATTAAGCGTCTCAAACACACACACAGCTGTGAGCAGTTGCGTCCATTAACACCTTGTAGGTGGAACATGAAAGCTTTGTATCGCTGTTTCTCCCCCAGCTGAAGGACTGACGGCCTTCTCATGGATTCTTTTCAGTTTACTGCTGTGCAACAAGATCTGCCGACAAAGTCCGGCATAAGAGGGGATATGTTCACGTGTGGAGAAAGTAATGAAATCTCACTGAAATTAACCTTTAAATGATTTAACATGTGCAGCGGTGATGGCTTTAACACCACTGTGACACAGAGAATGAAAAAAAGTGTGTTTGGGATGAAAGAGCAGCTTAGTGATTGGAACTGAGGCAGGAAAAGAGAAGGTCAGAGGACACATTACTGTATGCTGGCTGAGGAAAATGGTAAGGAAAAATGTTTGTGTGGTTTCCATAGTCGTCTCCCAATGTGAGCTCCAGCTGCCCAAAGATCCTGGAATGTTTATTGGTTGGTATTGGAGTGTTTGTGCCGCCACCCCCGCCCCGCCCCTCACACACACGCATCATCTCCCACAAACCTGCTCCGGTCTCCACTCAACCATATTAGATTCAATAGTAACAAGTTCAACTGCTCAACACATTAAATACTGAAAACCCCACCCTTTATGTGCAAACACAGTAAATTAAGAACAACTGGGACAACTCCTCTGGAATCAACAGGTTTTATGCTTGATCTGCGCTGAGTGGAGCAATGCCAGTTGAAACATGAAAGGACATTTTATAATCCCTGAATCCCCCATTTCTACTGTATAGGCAAAGTAAAACATATTATCACACAGAATAAGGTTTAAAGTGATCCAATTATGTAAGCAACATGTCTTTTCCTGGCTAGAAATAATAGCATTTTCGAACAGCCCAACTAGGGTGTTAAAGATTAGGGTGGTGGAAAGGAGACCTTCCAATCTAACTCTTGGTGCTCATCAACACATTTAAAACTAAGAAAAACACACTTTTTCCCAAGTGGGATCTCAAGGGGTACTGGTGCCTATCTCCAGGTGTATACGGGCGAGAGATGGGATACACCCTGGACAGGCGACAGTCCATCGCAGGACAGCACAGAAAAAACAGGACATACAACCAGAGGCCAATTAACCTAAGAGTCTTGGACTGTGGGAGGAAGCCACGCATGCTCAGGGAGAACCTGCAACTCCATGAAGAAAGACCCCAGGCTGGGAATCGAACCCGCAACCTTCTTGCTGCAAGGCAGAAATGCTACCCATAATGGAATATGTTTTTTTAAAATATATGACCTGTTTAGGCTGTGTGTTGGTCTGAATATTTGAGCCATTTTCTACAGAGTTTACCATACAGGTTATGTATATTCACTGCAAAAACTATGTAAAAAAAAAAAATGTCTCAAATTAAGTGTATTTATCATTAATTTGAGTAGGTAAATAAGATAATTTGCCAATGGAATGAGTATTTTAGTCTTAAAATAAGATAATTAGATAATATTCACTTGAAATAATAATATTTTAAATGTAAATTATCTTGTTCCATTGGCAAAGTGTCTCAATTACCTCCTCATTTCAATACTTATTGAAAAAAAATGACTCATTTAGATTTCAATTTTTTTGCAGTGTTCTGTTTATAAAAGTATCTTAATTTTTCAAAAAGAATTTTAATGTGGCTTTTAACTATTAAATGTTGTTCGGTTATGGTTTGATTTTCTGTTTGTATCAAAATGTAGGGAAAAAAATATAAATTAAGAAAAAAAAAGTGTAAATATATACACAGTAATGCCAATAAATATTCGTCTTTCAACAGTTAAGAAGGGTTAAAATATGTCACAACAAACCATTTTCTTTTAAAACTATTCGAAACATTTGCTCAACATTCTGCCTCATTTCTTTTCAGGGTCAACCTTCATGGTTGAATGAAAATAAACCTTTAAACCTGAACCTGAGTAATTTAGAGCTTAAGCTCATATATATGGTGCTTAAAATAAAGCCCTTTATGTGGAAGCTGTGGCTTCAATGTTAGATGTTTGAAGGAGATCGACAGAACTCCTCACTACCAGTAGGTGTCTTATTCACATCCCTGGCTCTTTACAGCCTTCAGCTGTACTGTTCACCAGACCGTTGCCAGGTTTTGCAAACATTTCACTTACCCAGAAGGAAAGAAACTGCGGCTT